TCAAAACTTAAAATAGACTTACCCCGTGGTCCACCAGTTACACTTTTGGCATTTATCCCAGAGAAATGAACTTACTTTCATACAGAACTTGTACACAGTGTTCATAGCAGCTTTATTTGTACAGCCCAAAACAGGAAACTACTCACAATGTCATTCAGTGGGTGAATGGTTAAATAAATTGTGGTACCTCCATACTGTGAATGCTACTCAGCATTTAGAAGGAATGGACTGTTGATCCAACAACTTGGATGAACCTCAAAGCTAATGCCAATTTTAAAAGTATATAAACTGCATGGTTCCCTTTAAGTAGCACATGTAAATTAATATAATTCTAGAAATGGAGAACAGATTAGTGGTTGCTATAGGTTAGAGATGGGGAGGGGAAGAAGATGGGTATATCAATAAAAGGGTAACACAAGGGAATCTTAGGGTGATAGTACAGATGAGTATCTTGTTCTCACATACATCCACATACAAGTGCTAGCATAAATGGTAAATGTGAACAAGATCTTTACAAATGCCGATTTCTTGATTTTGACGTTTCATTATAGTTGTGGAAGACGTTAAATTTGAGGGAAGGCTGGGGGAGGAGTACACAGGACCTACCTTTACATTTCTTTGCAGCCTACTGTGAGTAATTATTTAAAATAAAAAGTTTTTAAGACTTACAGTAATTACTAAAAGAAAATAAATAAAATGTATAACTTCCTAGCCAAAAGAACAGGGGAAGGAAAAAAATAAAGAACGATCAACCAAGATCCAACAAGATTGAGGAAAGGAGAAAATAGAAAGCAAAGAAAAAACAAAATAGCTACTAATACAAAGATGGTAAAAACAAACGAAAGTGTATTTATAATCACAATAAATAAAATGGACCAAACTTCCCATTTAACAGAAAGTCTCAGGTTTTGTTTTTTGAGTTTAGTTATTTTCAATGTGTAAGAGGCCTGACTAAATATAATGACACAGAAATATTAAAAGTAAGTGATATGGAAAGTGGCAAATATCTAAAGAAAATAGCCATATTATGGTAATATCAGATAAAAGAAACTTTAAAGTGAAAACGTTATTGATATTAAAAGAGTCAATATATAGTGATAAAAGGAACAATTAACGGAGAAGATAAAACAATACTGATCTTTTATATACCAATACTATAACACTTTACATTTTTTAAAGCAAAATTCAATATATGTAAAAGGAAAATGGATAGTTAGATTTTTAATATACCTACATTAGTATTAAGAGTAGAAAAGATCTGAGCAATGAATTGATGGAGATAAGTAGATGGATAGATGGATGAATAGGTAGATACCAAAATATATAGAGAATGTATTAGCCCAACATACAAGCATACATGGAATACTTATAAAACTTGACCATTCATTATTAGGTCACAAAATAAATTTCAGCTTATACCATATAGTAGGTCAAAAAGCAAGTGTTACTTTACACACAGCATGTTTTCTGCCCACAACTCAATAAAATTGAAAATTGGTAACAAAGTAATAACCAACACCCCTATTCATTTCGAAATATTAAAAAAACAGACCTTTGAATAAGATCAAAGAAACTTGCATGCCAAAAGTTAAGCATGAAGCTAAAACAAGAGCGTGTACTTATGGAAAATCGTAGCACTGCGCTTGGATATATTATTAGATAGGAAGAAAGAGGAAAAGCTAATGGGTTAAGTGTCTAAATGAAGATGAAAAAAAAATTCAGTAAACAAGGGTAGAAGCAAATCTAGGAAGGAAAAAAATTGATCTCTGTCAACCTGAGAAGAACATTATCTCTGGAAGGGAGAAGAGACTGTAAGAAAACGAACTACATTGGTGGTATTTTATTTCTTTGGGCCAAAAAAAAAAAAGTGTATATACTTTGTGTATTAAAAATAATTCTTTGGGGATGCCTGGGTGGCTCAGTTGGTTAAGCGCCTGCCTTTGGCTCAGATCATGATCCCAGGATCCTGGGATCAAGTCCCACATCGGGGTCCCTGCTCAGCGGAAAGCCTGCTTCTCCTTCTGTCTGCTGCTCCCCCTGCTCATAGATACACTTGCACTCTCTCTCTTTCTCTCTCTGACAAATAAAATCTTTATTTATTTATTTTTAGTTTATCTGACACAGAGAGAGAGATCACAAGTAGGCAGAGAGGCAGGCGGTGGGGGCGGGGAAGCAAACTCCCCGCAGAGCAGAGAGCCCAATGCAGGGCCCGATCCCAGGACCCTGGGATCATGACCTGAGCCGAAGGCAGAGGCTTAAATCACTGAGCCACCCAGGTGACCCTAAATAAAAAAAAAAAAAAAAAAGAATCCACGGCCAAATCCACGATGATGTAGATTTATTCCTATGTTTCTTCCTGAGAATTTCATAGTTTTAGCTCTTAACTTGGATCTTTGATTTGAATTAAATCTTATATATAGTTTATGATCAGCAGCTGTACCATTTAACCTCCTCTTCAGCAGCGCACATGGGTTCCAATTTCTCCACATCTATTCAACACTTGTTACTTTCTGTTGTTGGTGGTTTTCTTAAATTGTAGACATTCGAATGGGTGTGAAGTGGTATTGTGATTTCAGTTGGCATTTTCCTAGTGATTAGTGCTGGTGACTGTCTTTTCATGTGCCTTTTGGCCATTTGTGTACCTTCTTTGGAGAAATGTCTATACTTGCCTATTTTTAATTGGGCTTTTAATTTATTGTTGAATTATAGGAGTTCTTTATGATGGATATCAATCTTTATGAGATACATGACTCGCAAATATTTATTCCTATTGTGTAGATTGCCTCTTCACTCTATTAATAGTGTCCTTTTAGATTTTATTTATTTATTTGACAGACAGAGATCACAAGTAGGCAGAGAGGCAGGTAGAGAGAGAGGGGGAAGCAGGCTTCCTACTGAGCAGGGAGCCCAATATGGGGCTCAATCCCAGGACCCTAGGATCATGACCTGAGCCAAAGGCAGAGGCTTTAACCCACTGAGCCACCCAGGCACCCCATATAGTGTCCTTTGTTGAACAAAAGATTTTAATCTTGGTGAAGCCCAGCTTATGTGTTCTTTCTTTTGTTGCCTGTGCTTTTGGTGTCATATCTGAGCAATCATTGCCAATTTCTAAACACTTAGCCTGGTGGTGTTTAAACTACTCAGTGAATGATTTAAAGAACTGAAGTAAGTTATTTCTATTCTACGATTTACTGTTATAATTATGGAAGATTTCATCATCATCCATTCAATCCCAAACTTCTTCTGAATCTTTATTTTCCTGATTACTGCCAAATGCATTCGATTATAAATTGAAAGCATGGAAATAGCACAATTGATTATGATACAGTTTTTCCCCATGAGGAATAGTGATCAAAATTATTGCCAAGTGCCTTTATTAGGAAAAGAAAATTCTTAACTGATTAAAGGCTATGGATATTATATATCAACGATTAAATGGGTTTTCAACTTTTCTGCTTCATTTTTTAAAAACACTGAATTTCACTTCAGCACATATAATAGAGTTCTAAAACTTCAAAGACATTTTGCATTCTGAAAAGGGTTCCTTGTGGTTATAATATTCATTTGAAATTCAAATAACTCCTTGGAATTTGAAGCTAGCTAGGAGTTTTGTATTGTTAAAAAAAAAAAAAGAGAGAGAGAGAAAGAGACAGGGAAGATCCCTGATACCATTGCTAATTAATACTGCTATAAGATGTGACACATTTGTACCTAGATAGGAGCAGCAAACACATCTTCTGAAGTCATCAAATAATACATGCATTCTCTATAGTAAACATCTTAGACAATGTGTAAGAACTTATTTTTAAACCTCTTTTTGTTCTGCCTTTAAACCATTATATACTTTTTCCAGCAAGTATTTTTCAAGAGCTCCTAATGTTGTAAAGTAGATGATGTAGATGATCCAATAGAAGCCTAAGACTTGGTCCTCTTCCCTCAACTTGACATCCATCCATCCCTAGAAAGTAATGATGCACAAGACAGTATAAAAGAAGAAATACAAGCATTTACCATGTAGAGTCTCAGAAAGTAAAGACGGACTGCAGTGGTATGAACGGGTGTCAAGGAGGTGGACCTCAGCAGGCCAGGAGGGTGAAGTAGGCTGGATGGACTGAGGAAGGGCCTGTTCTCTCTAGGTAAGAGGGAAGATAGGAGCCAAAGGGTGACAGACTGGAGAATGTTGTGTGCTGGGTACCTGAGGTAGAGGGTACATTAAATAGGCTGTGGCCAGTTGTCAGGGCAGAAAGAGGACAGATTATGGGGAGTTGGTATGGAGTTTTATATTCGATGCAGCTGACTGCGGAGAAACACTGAGTTCTTGATCAGAGGAGTGCTGGGAAGATGTAGTCTCTCTCCATGGAAATCACAGAACTTTAGAAGTAAAGGGATTTTGGAAACATCTTATTCAACATCTTATTTCCTGAGGCCAAGGAGCTGAAATAACTTGCTCAGAGTTACCCATTAGAAAATAGCAGATCTGAATCTCAAATACATCCTTTCTTCCAAGGCCAGCAATCTTTCCTTCATTCCACACTCCTCCAGAATATAGTCAGAGAAAGGAGCGAGGGAGACCAAATGGGCAACAATTATGAAGTCCACACTCAAGGCAGTGAACACCATGATCAGAGGCGTTGCTGAGGAAAGTCGACTGAAAGGGCAAATAAGAAGCACCCTAGTGAGAAAAAGTCAGAACCTGGTAACTGTTTTCTTTATTTGAGCCAATGAGGCAAAAATCTACAGAACTCAGTAAAGGATTGTGCTAGTTCTAAAAAATAATATTTGACTAAAGCGAAAAAGACAAATCCTAGTAAAACTACTATTCATAACCCAAATGGCCCTGGCAAATGGGTGCTAAGTAAATATTTGCTAATGAACAAATAAATAAATGTATCAAATTTTGTTGGTTTTTGTTTTGTTTTGGATTTTGGTTTGGCGGGGAGATGTTGTTTAGGAAGTAGCTTACAAGTGTTATTTTAACAAGAAAACATTTTCTTTTACAGATTCACCTGTTGGGAGTTTTGCTAGCCATTTTAGGAAATTTGGTAATGAGTATTTCCCTAAATATTCAGGTAAGAAGTAGTTTATTTTTCTGACTCTGTAGTTTGATCCAGGAACACATTATGACTTTAGGAGGCCTCGGGTACTTCTTGGGATCCTTCCTCCACAAAAATAAACAAGTATATCTTATAACCTCATTGATGTAAAGACAAATAGAGTCTAGGCAAATTGCATTCACTTTCTTCTTCTGATTAAAAAAAAAAAATCAAATGTTTCTGTGGACCTCTTAATAATATTACATGGCCAAGGCAAGGTGCTTCAGTGGCTTGTGAATATATACCACAAATTTGTACCTAAGATGTTCACAATCTTGGCACAAACCAAGATTTATTTTTAATGTTCTGTGTTTTCTTCTAGTACTCTTATTATTTTTTTAAAGTTTTTAAATGTAATGTAGAGTGGTACATATGTATTAATAGAAAGTATGTTCAGCCATCATCAAATCAGTAATGAAATAGAGCTTTATTTAATGGCCAATTTTCCAGGAATGTAGATGTTTCAAATACAAGGAAATATTCCAACCATGTGTAAACAAGGGTCTACCACCAGACCCCCTACTAGCAAAGCATCTGCCCTGCTGTGTTACTGTGGTAGCTGTTTGACTCATCCATTGAAATCCCTTTTCCAAGGGGTTTTCTTGAGTAACTTGTTATTTTCATTTCATCAATGTTTATTTTGGCATCTGGACTTTTTTTGACCTTCTAAAGGAAGTGTTGTGGTGTGGTGGACTAAAAGGGCACTTAATTCTTTAGCACACTGCTCATCTTTGGAGAGCAATTAGTAATGCTAATTTTACAGTTATGAGAATTAAGCAACATTCCTATATAAGGAAGGCCCTTTCCACACAAAATCCCCCATCAATGGCAGTGACTTCTGCAGTTAATATGTTTGGAACAAGCAGAAAACCAGAATAATTGTTCTGTAATAATATGTAAGTAAACTTTAAAAACCATGATGCAAATGCATAGGACCAAAAATGTTCAAGACAAGTTTTAATTGGATAGAATATGTTCTTACTTACTTTCTGATTTACTTCCAGAAATATTCTCATGTCCAGTTGGCGCACCAGGAACACCCAAGGCCCTACTTCAAGAGCGCGTTGTGGTGGGCTGGGGCTGCCCTCATGGCTGTGGGCGAGATGGGCAACTTCGCCGCCTACGGATTTGCTCCCATTACTCTCATCGCCCCATTAGGCTGTATGTCTGTCACAGGTGAGCCATTTCTCTGTGTTTTAACAAAAACAAATGTTTAGAGATCAGAATAATTGGCAAAAAAAAAAAACAAACACATATAACATGAACAACACATAAATAAGAGAAGAGAGTCGACTTCCTGTTTTCTTAGCACTTTAACTTAGAACAATTACCCTGACTTCACTGATCCCCAGTCAGGCTGCCCCTTACCCATGAAGGAGCCTGCACTTTGTAACTGTAGTATTTATGTTTAAAAGCCTGATTTCCAGGGGCACCTGGGTGGCTCAGTGGGTTAAAGCCTCTGCCTTTGGCTCAGGTCATGATCCTAGGGTCCTGGGATCGAGCCCCACATCGGGCTCTCTTCTCGGCAGGGAGCCTGCTTCCTCCTCTCTCTCTCTGCCTGCCTCTCTGCCTCCTTGTGATCTCTGTCAAATAAATAAATAAATATTTATTTAAAAAAAAAAAAAAAGCCTGACTTCCAGTGTCTGCATCTTAATAAATTAACAGGAACAGCAAATGTTATATCATGCTTTTTAAATTATCAATGAATTATCTAAAAGCGTGTGTGATACATCATGCTTTATTCATATGTGAAACTGACATTACATGTACTTAGAGTGTTTGATGCCTGATCTTGACTCCATAGTTCAGTATCTCTTTTACGTTAAGAATTAAATATTGGTGGGAGTGGGGGGACACCTGGATGGCTCAATCGGTTAAGCCTCTGCCTTTAGCCCAGGTCATAATCCCAGAATCCTGGGATTGGGACGCATCAGATTCCCTGCTCATGGTGGGGGATGGGGGGTCTGCTTCTCCCTCCCCCTCTGCCCCTCCTCTCTGCTTGTGCACCATCTCTCTCTCTCTCTCAAATAAATAGATAAATAAAGAATCCTTTAAATAATCCTTTAAAAAGAAAAAGAATTAAATATTGGGGCTCCTGTGTGGCTCAGTTGGTTAAGCATCTGCTTCTGGATTTAGACTCAGCTCATGATCTCAGGATTGTGGGATGGCGCCCTGTGGGCTCTGCGCTAGGCCTGGACCCTCTTAAGATACTCTCTCTGCCCCTCCCCCTGCTTACATGCTCACATCCTTGCACACTCTCTCTCTAAATAAATATATCTTTTAAAAAAAAGAATTAAATATTGGTTATTCTACGTTACTATAAGAATGTAATTTTATAGTACTGTTAGAATCAACCTACTTTCAAAATTTATGATTTACTAAATATATCTAGAAAAGAGAATATGAGATGTTGCTAAAGACTAAAAAAATAAAAGAGCAAAAATCACTGCTAAAAAGATGAATAAATTTTCTAAGCCTTGTTAAAATCAATAAAATCTTTTTAGATTTACTCTTTATTTGCTGCTATGGCAACAGCATGTTTTTAAATGTGAATTTGAAGCCTCCAATGAAGTAGAAAGGAGTTGATGGTTATTGTCCGCTAACAACTAGATCAAGTGTGAGATGCACTCACACGCTCCAATTTAATATTTCTCCTTTAAAAAATATGTTATTCATAAAGGAAGCATAGTTTAAACCAAAATAATATATATTCGAAAAGAATGTAATTTATTTTGATAGTAGTTTCCGCCTCTTAATCACTCAAAATATTGTATTTAAAATATTTTCATGGTATACTGTAGTAGAATATCTAGCAAAGAACACTTTTTCAGCTTTCTAGGAATTGCTCAGTTAACATTGCCATCCTGTTATTACTCTAAATAGGCACCCCATTTATGTAATCATTGCTGTTTTTAACATTCTAATAAAATGAACAATTTTAGCATATCTTCTCTTTGCTATACATACCATGTACATAGACATTGTGGATTTCTTCTTTCTTCTCAAAATCTGAGAAATAATAGATAAAAGTTCTAGTTATATTGTAACGTTGGCACCTCTACAGACCCCAATTATTCTAAAAATGTTGTATTATTCTTCATAATGACTGTATGTTTAGAGCTAGTTTTCATTTTTATTTCTTGTTTTGCTTCATGCTTAGCTTCCATGAAATAGGCAAAAAAGTGTCCAGGAGTATAAACAGACACCTGGGGGAGGGTTGAGTGTACCATATGATAATGAAATTTTCCATTTATCTCGAGTCTCCCAGGTACTGGTAATCCTTTTTTCTGGGAACAAGAAAAAGAGAGCTATTCCAACTAGCCCAAAGAAAGGGGAGTGTGGCTGGATTTACTGCAATGATCAGGGATTTCACAGAAATGAAATACAGCCGGGCCCTGTTGGGACCTAAAGTGAGAATTTGGAAGTTGCCAGAGATTAAGGGTCCCTTGATACCCCTCACAGACCTTCAGGGAAGCTGCCTATGAAACTGCTCATCTTGGCCCGACTTGATCAAATCTCCCATTAATAGTAAGAAGCTTAAGTTTTCTCACTCACCTTAGACAGTGTCCTGTCCTCCCCAAGTCCCCATGGGTCCAGTCTACCTACTATCAAACTCTGAGCCCACTGGTTTGACAGATGGGACTTTCTCAATGTTACAGATCATTTTTCATTCTGTGCTCTTGGCCCCAATTAATATTTCAATGTTAGAACCTCCCTCTCTGCCCATAAAATGATTCAAAGAAGAAAAAAAAAAAAAAAACAAAGACAAAAAACTTATAGCCTCAAATACAAACCATTTCCTACTTTACAATCTTTGCAAACAGCAATATATGCTTGTAATATTCCCACAGCATTCCAGAGCCAAATTTAGGTTACTGTGAAGTGTTTTGGGTAGGTTATGGGCCATTGGTGACTGGCAATATTCCCCAGAACAAACCACTACCACCCTGAGATTCTTTATAAAGATTCTAGAAATTCTAAAGGACCTGAAGCAAAAAAGGAAAGTATTTTTAAAATAGCCATATCATATGGCTCTGTGTACAGATGAGACAGAAGAGTGTCCATGTTTTTCTGTGCTGGAATTTTTCCTCTTATTATTTCTTGGGAGATTCATGAAAGAAATCAGACTTCCTTCTGATTTTTAAGAAAACAGACCAAAAAAGATACTGTATTTTGGATGGAATGGGAGTTTGCATATTCTTTTCTGGCCTTTCTTCTATTTTTTGTTGTTTTTATTTTTAAAAAAAAAAAAGAAAGAAAATTTTAAAAAGCTGGACCTCCTAAGTAGGGTGTTTTCTTTCGTCTTCCTTCCTCTGCTTAGGTGATCTGATTCACACCAACCCTGTTCTCCTTTCACCCTTCCAGAAGTAAGGAGAGATCCCATGGAGGTCATCCTGTGCTCTGATCTCACTGCACACAACATGCCAGGCCTGCTAATATGTCAGACCCGCTGTCTTGTCTTACATCATCAAAATTCTTTTTCCCTTTGTAACTTCAATTGAACAGATTGTTCTCAGGACTAGCGTAGAAGAAACACTATGATAAGCATTATGGTTCTTTCGGTTTGGGCTCTTCCCACGTGGCGGTCTCCAGCCATCTTCCTGTCTATCCTTTCTTTCCCTTTCTATGTGCGTGTGTTCTGCTGACCCCGCTGCCACACTCACCTTGAAGCAGCCAATGCTCAAACACTATTTTACCGGTGGCTCCAAAGGTGTTCTGAGAAACAAAGAGCTCCACGATCAGAAAGATCTCTGCCGTATTGGATTTTCAATGTTAGCCTGGTTTCGTGAGGGCAGGGCTCAGCGGGGCGCAGCCCAGGACAGGCCCACGCACACTGTGAGTCTCCCAGAGACAGACGCAGTAGGCCGGGTTTCCAGAACCTGCTGACCACACAACATTTTTACATGAAGCACCGCAAAGGACAGCAGTTCTGCAGAAAACCCTGTAAGGAATTCTTAAAGCAATGCCACGTGAGTAATTACCCAATCTCCAATGCCTGGCTTGGGCAAGTTATCCAGCCTGCCGGAGTCTCAAGGATTGGGTAACAGGCCATAATCCTGGCAGATTTGAACGCCCAGGCCTGGGTCTGGCTTTTGGAGAATATCAGAGCCCTGGTATCCTTGTGTCACCTTGCTCTTTGAATCTGTTTTTCTCACTGAAAAATAGGTCCAAAGGCTCATTCTGACTAATATGCTTGTTATGCTGGCAAGGTGGTTAATTCTGGATGTTGACTTGTGTTTGTGTTTCCATTAATTAAGAAAGCTTAATGGATGTTTTTCCTTTTCCTTTTTTTTTTTTTAAGAATTTATATATTTATTTTAGAGAGGGAGAGAGAGCAAGTGAGTAGGGGGAGGAGAGAGGGAGAGGGACAAGCTGACTCTGCATGCACTGAGCATGAAGCCCAACACAGGGCTTGATCTCACAACCCTGAGATCATGACCTGAGCCGAAATCCATACTTGGACACTTGCTTCCCCGACTGAGGCCCCCAGGTGCCCCTTAATGGATGTTTTCAATTTCGTCTACAGCCTAGGCTGGATATTTGTCCCAATAAAACAGCAGTTAAGTGGTCAGGAACACACGCTCTGGGGCCACACAGCCAGCTCTAGGATTCACATCTCAGTTCTGCCGCAGGAAAGCTCTGTGACCTCACACAAGTCGTATAAATAGGTTGAAGCCTCAGATCCCTAATCTGCAAAATGGGGAGAGAAAAGAGTTCTTATCTCAGAAGTTGTCCTGGGGGGGAGGTGGCAGGAACAGAATAAACACAAACACCTAAGAATGGTGTTGGACACAGACTACAGTGTTTGACATAATAACAACTCTAGTGATTGTCACTGTGACTTACAGTAATTATGATCACTCAGGAACAAAGCACGTTATTCTTTCTAAGGGCATCTGTTCCCCAGCCCCAAAAGATGGCTGATGATTAAATTCTCTAAAATGGAGGAGCCAGTTTAAGAAAAGCTCTTTATTGTTCTTACCCATGTAATAGTTAGTTTTCAGGGAGTGGAAAAGTAGGATCCTCGCAGCTCGTGGGCTCAGTCATTGAACTGCAATTACCCTTTGACTTCTCCACATCCTACCAACCAAAACATGTTGGAAAATACCAGAATTTCTGAATAACCGACCAAGACAAAATACATTAAACACACACAGATATTTGTCAGAGGAAAA